ATCACCCTTCTCTCCGGTCCGCCGGGCCTGAAACCCTGTCGGAGGCTCTGAAGCTCATCAGCAGCACATTTGTTTTTCCAGGGCCGTCGAAGGGCTGATAAACAACAAGCCCGGCCCACCCCCTCCCCTCCCGCCGGCGACGGCATGCCACCCCTCCCCGCGCCGCAAATGGACAAAGTAGACGAAGATGATGTCCATTTATCTTGGGGGCGCTAGGGCGTCGGGCGTTTGTGTGAAGCGTTGTGCGTTTTCAAAATAAGGCGTGTTCAGGCGTTTTTTGATGCGTGTCGCGAGGTGGTAGGATGCGATGTGAGAGATATGAGGTTTGATATGGGACCTCACGGATTAGAAATATGTAGTCCGCTTGTTTGTAAGTGAAAGTTCTCCATCAAGGAGGGGGGCGCGCCACATCCACGTTTTCCTCTCCATCACCTAGTCCTCCATGCCCTGCCGCCCCTCAGCCTGACGTGCCTACCACCCCCCCAGTCAATCTCCGACCCAGCCAGCAGCAGTTTCGTAGACTAACAAGCTGTTGGCTGTGCCTTCGCTCCCCCGCCTTTGGGAACGCCCAGAAAGAACGTCCGTTTTTTTTCCCCAGAAATGTTCTGGATATTAAGGGAGCTCGGCGGCGCCTGTGAGACTCAGGGCAGGCCACTATATGCGGTACACGCATCCAGTGCAGGCGAGATGTTATGCCTATACCCACCAGGCGCCATGGTAACGTACAGAGGCTGGACTTGGCGGGCGCGCCGCTGCGAATGACGGGCGTGGTGTACTTTCTGCGCGAGCGGGTCAGGTCACCTCTCCGTCGCCGTGTCGCACTGCCTGACGGTGAGTGGTGTGGCTGGCCGCGGCTGCCAGCCCGCCTGAGTCTGATATGCGACCCGATAGCGGGCTCGAGCGAAGCGTCGGAAATATGGAAGGCGTCATACACTAGATGGACGAAGGGGAGCAGGACTTAGAGAAAGAAAAAAACAAAATCGTGCGAGCGATATCAAAGTTCAGCAGCCGGAAATGCGTGTATCGCTCCTACGGGAGGGCGAGAGCGACCGTGTTCTCGTGTCTCGCTGCATCTTGCAAAGAATTCTCTCAATGCGAACCAGCAAGTTTGCAATCACAAAGTTTGCAAAGGAATGTGACGGCTTCTCGAAAAGAATTCTTTGTAATATACGATCTTTTTCTGTACAGTACGAAGATCGGAAATTCACTGCAACTTCCACCTAGAAAAGCGTGTTCTCGTATCATGTGCAATGTACTTGAATCGAGTGCAATGCACTTGATAATCTAAACCTTAATCATTCCACTCGAGTATTTGGGCTCAAATCAACCCCAAATTCTCGCCCAAATTATTGTTGCCAAATCGTTCCCCTTTGCGCTTGAATGATACGCATGTTTTTGGTTCAAGGCTAAAATTGGGCTTGAATTGAGCGGGATATGTACTCGAGACTTTCAAGTACACGCTTTTCTGGGTAAAGAACACAGTTTTCGAGCATTCGAGACAGTGCGCAGCTGTGACGACGTTGTTCGCGGGAACAAAATTTCCTCCACCGGTTTCCAATCATCGCACGTGTGTTGGTTCTGCCCCCGGTGGGCCCAATCACCCCCCCCCCCCCCCCCCCCCCCCCCCCCCCCCCCCCCCGGAGCAGATGTAAACAAAACGTGCTTATCCCGGGTGTCCGTCCAGGAGAATCGGCGGCAGCTGTATGGGTTGCCTACGCACTGGCGTGCGGGCGCGGAGGGCGAGGGGTGAGCGGAAGGGGTGGCGGGAGGCGGCCGGTGGCCTCTCACCCGACCTCTCACTACAGGAACCCCCCAAAAGTTATCGCCATTCAATTTGTTGTTCCCAGCACTTCAAACCGCACAAATACGTATATTTTGCGTGAACAAAAAAATCCTCGACACTTTGATGATTTCTCGCCTTCAGCGACGGCGTAGACTGGATCGACCCCTGAAACGATAGCATGCATCTCGCCTCTATGGCTTAGTTGGTAGAGCGCCCACCCAGAGCGTTGGAGGTCGCCGGTTCGACTCCAGGCTCGGTAACATTTTTCGCTTTGCGCTTCGCGTTGGTGAAGGCCTGAATAACGAGCGGAAGTTCAAGTAGAATCGGAACACGGCTCACCTCCGTTGGCTGGGTTGGGTAGCTCCTGGTGGCAGGTTCGCTGTAGCTGTCAAATTGACTCGACACTCGGTGTTGTGGGTTCGATACCCGCGTACCCCTGATGGTAAGGCCTCTGAATGTGGGTTTCAGTCTATCTCCCTTTTGGATACCCGTAAGTCCAACAAGCGGCAGTATGTTGTGACCACTGTGGTTGGAAGCGGCTGATCCCGTCCGAAACTCAGAAGTCGCCGGCGACTGCGAGGTAGGGGCATACTTCCCCAGTTTTTGACCGGTTAGTATCTGACATTTGACCGGTCAGTATCCGACATTCGAGGTAGCAGAACCAAAGTACACTAAAATGGTACAGAAATGAATGTGCCTTGCCTGTGCTGCCACATACCTACTGTACATTTGGTTTATACAACCTGGTGTACTTTGGTACACTTTTGTTTGTGACAGTGCACTGCTTTCCGAAAGTCGATTTATCGCGTTGGCGCCGGCAGCCGGGCCCCACCTAAAACCAAAAGCCAATAGTAGCGGGTAAATAAATAATACCGGCTGAGCGGGGCTGGGGCCCGTCTCGTCACGGGAACCCCGCGCAGCCGTGACGTCTGAGCGAGCGCAGCGCGCGGCGCCGGGGGACCGGAGAGCTCCGGAGCAGCCGGAGAGGCCCGGGGGAAGAAGGGAGGTTGGAGTGGAGGGGCGGGGCGGGGCGGGGGTGTTGTCAAGAGACCGGGGGGATGTTGCCTGGCAACAGTGAGAAAAGCCACAAGAGCGGAGGCGGCGGCCGTTGGGGCGGCGGCACAAAGTCCTTCCAAACACTGCGGTGCAAAATATTCGCATAGTGTTTTTAGGGGGAAAATTTTCAGCAAACTATGTCATGAAACAATAATTGCATAAGTTACAAATTACTTTTGACACTTTATGTACCGACAAAATTGTATTTGCTGAGCAAGGATTTATGAGATTTTTCCGTGCATAAAACGTTTAAATAGTTTGAACAGTGCTGGCCGCCGTTCAGATTGCGACGTCACACGTTCTTGTGGGAAAACCGCTCAGCGTTTCACGCGTTGTCTCTCGACTTGCCTGTCTGCAGGGATATGAAGTTTTATGCCACACCTTTTCTAAGGTGCTCTGCTTGAACTCAACTGTGATTGTATAGTTATTTTTTTTTATTTCCAGGTTCCTGTGCACTAACGATGAACATTGGCTTCAACTTCGACCGACCATGAAGTTCGAGAAGAGACCCCAATTTGAGGGTAAGTCTTCAGAACCATGTTTTCCGCAATTTTTACTGGTTGCAGGTATTTCCAGTGAGCGATATCGATATGAAGTTGACGCCGTTTTTTGCGAAAATTTCGTCCTAACATGACGTTGATTTAACCTTTCTGTCGATTTCCGTCATTTTGGGCTCAAAACCGACGAAATCAAATTTCGACGCCGAATCAACGTCGATTCGATATTCCATCTCTCACTTCGATATTGTGTGTATAAAAATAGAGATAGTCCAACCGAAGAGTAGACAAACCCCTGGTGGCTAGGCAATTTCTGGATGTAAAGTGCAGTGGAGTTGGGCGGGTTGGCCTACCCAAGAGTAAGCAGGCGCTCGGCTCCCTCAGCTCACTTTGCCGACTGCATTACGTTCTCTCTCTTCTTTAAATTTACAGGAATGGCGTCGACAAAGGAAGACGAGGAAGACAGAAAATGCAGAGACAGCGACGCGTTTTACAGGAGCAATGGGAAAGTGGAGCGCAGTAATCACAGCAACGGCAGCAGCAGAACCCCAGGGACTGATCAGTCTCAGGAGAAAAGGTCGGTCCATACAAACTGTCGCCTGCCCTTTGCCCGTGGAGGGGCCACCGCCACTGCTGACGGAGCATGCAATTATATTTGCTCTGGAACCTTTTTATTTATCTTTTCAGGCCTACCCAGGCAGCAGAGCCGCGCGTGGGAGCCACATTTTTGGCTCATCAATGCGCCAAAAACGCGCTAAACATGCGTCAAAAATGCAGTATTTGCTACGTGGGTGACAACGGAGACGTTAATGATGTCCTGGAACACATGTCAAGACTGGACATCAACGTGGAAGAGTATGTAACCTTTTTTCATGCCAATCGGATGGTCCTTGCTGTACACTTTTTGTGGCTGTGACAACAGGTGCCCCGTCGGCCGTCGTGGCCCGGAGTGTTGTGGACGATAGACAAATCGTGAAAAGAATACGTTACCTTTCGGTACCCATAAATTTGATGGCGAAAAGTGCACAGCGTGACCTGCCCGCGTACACTGAAAACGCAAGTGTGTGAACGTCGCACACTTCTAGGTGTGTAAATGCCCATCAGTACACTTAAGGGAGTAAAGGTGTGAATTTCACTTTGCAATTCATACACTTGAGTCTCCATGTGTACGAATGGTGTCAACACACCTACAAGTGTGTGGTATTCGCACACTTGGGTTTTCGGTGTAGTCTGTTGAATCCGTGGAATTTGTTGTTTATTATACGAAACTCTTTCTAAATTCAGGTCTCCAGAAGAAAGACAGTGCAAAACCGAACAAAGCATCGCTCAAGATGAAAAAAGTATAAGTAATGTAAGAAAGACAAAGGCACTTGAACAGGCTTCCAAACTCGGTTCAAAAATTTCATTTACAAGTCTAACTTGTGCCACCCAGGATGCCATGGCGTCTCCTCTCAAGAAAGACCCAGACAATGGCAAAGCTACATCCAAGAAAGATGAGTTAGCAAAACCAGAAAACTCAAGGATCGGGTGTAAATTGGAAAAATCAGCTATTGTTAAACAGAATCAATCCAAAGATCTATTCATAACAGACCCTGCAACAGAGAAAAATGTGGGTTCCAATAAAAGGCAGCCGAGCGCAACAGAATCTGACCTCGCGAAATCAGACTCCAGCGAGACAAGATTGACGACCGACAGCAAGCACGACTGCAGGTAGGTAAAGTGGGTTAATTTTATTGATATTAATACCATACGGATCTGTCGCCAGAATTATCTTATTTTGCTTCTGTTATTTTAAAGTGACAAGGTCTACAAAATCGTTGAAGACTTCAAAAAGCTCTTGCCAAGGTAATTCGCATAAATTTAGGGCTTGGGATTCGAGTAAAAATTGCACCAAATTTCCAATTATTGGATAACTTGTACCTATTTCTGTTTCGTAGATTGGAGAAATCAGAGGAAAATAAGTCCACGACACACAGCTCATCAGAATATGGTAAAGGTTTGGATTGGGATGCAACTGTCGTTGACTGCCCAGAAATGACGACATCTCACTGTCTATAGGAAAAGAGAGAGAGAGGGGGGGGGGGGGTCCATTCATGTCGAACCAGTGCTATCGCGGTCCGCTGCTAGCCCACTCTACAGAGACCCTTGCTAGCTTTATTTAGTCGGGGGTAGTCGCCCCCCTCCCCCCTCCCCACTCGCTTTGCCCTGTCAACGGGGAGAGAAAGGAAAGGCTCTGTCCGGAAGAACGGTTCGGTCGGTCGGTGGGAGAGAGGTAGAGGGGGAAAAAAGAGAAAAGAGGGGGGGGGGGAATTCTGATGGAAACTGCATGAATAGTAATTGAATGAGGCAGACCCGCGACTCGCGCGCGTGCGTGCGGAGGAGGGGGGAGGAGGGGGGGGGGGTGAATAGATCCGCCTCTCTCACTCCGAATGTGCTGCCACACTGCCTGTACGTACACCAGGTGGCTGATTCCTGTGCCGTTGCCACCGGCCGATCGCACACCGACCGATCCCTCACCTCAAAGCTCGCTGTCCGCAAATCAAAGCGGTCCTTTTCGCTTTGGCCGCCGACATGCCTCGCCGAGGTTTCCCGAGTTCCGTAATAATGCCAGTCAGAACCGCCGCTTGGCCCAACTCACACACTGAGGCCAGCCGAATACCTACCCTGCCCTCATGGAAGGAGTGAGGAATGAAATGCCTTAAAACTCATCAATGTTAGGCTACAAAAAAGGGCGTTATTCAAGGTCGTCTTGCATGAAAGTGGGAATCGTTTTAATAAAGGTCAATAAGATAAGATTTTAAATCCAACATGCTGTTAAAATTGTTGTTTTTCATGACAGCCCTCTCTTCTAAATCCGAACGCCACGAGGAAAGCCCGAGAAAAGATACAGAACGTAAGTGAATGTATAAGTTGATCTAGGATTAGGCTACACTGTCCAAAGACTACGGAGAGTCAGCCCTGTTGGCGCGAATGCGTGGCAGCACGCGTGCGGGCGTGTTGGTCCAGGCTTGCCTATCGCCTCTAACCAGGGCCCCTTATATGGCTCCGAGCGCATAAGCAACCAACTTGCACACCTGCACACGCGGGCTGCATATTAGGCTGGGCCTCCCACAGTCGGGTGGGGCGGCGGGTGATCGGGTTTTAACAAATCGACTTTTGCGACTTTTCAACAGCTGCCCAACAGAAAAATGGTACCAAAGTTTTCACCGAGACCAAGCAGGACCAGGACTCGGGGAAGGTGGAACAGATATTGCAGAAGTTCCGCTCGATGGTCTCCAAACAATCAGTCATCATCATGCGTCGTGGCCCAACAAATGTTCCCATTGGTCCACATGATGAGCTGGATTCACTCTTGAGGGTATCGGGTCCCCTTCGTGAGTTCACTTTCGAGGAAATTGATGAGTTTTTGAAGTAAGTATTAGTGGAACTTGTAAGATGAGGAACAGATACTGGCCGTTCACCTTTTCGTAATCGTACAAATATTTTTCTTTTGTCTTCTTGGCACCTTGGTGATAGCATGACACAACAAGTTCCGTGAGTATTTATTTGTTTTCTCAAAACACCTTATTTTAACATTCATATTTTTACTGGCTACTAGACGTATGGTCCGCACCGTCTTTTTTTTCTGCTTATACTGTACCGTGTGTCAGAGCGACGACACAGCAGTGCTGCGGGTTTGCATACCCTGGGGCCCATGGTGCCCTACCAGTAGAGAGAGTATCCAATCCCAGCATGCTGTTGTGTCGTGGCCCCTGACACGCGGTGATTCCTACTCGTGGCCGTAAGGTTCCATAGGACGAGCGACGGTGGGCCAGCCCTTCCGCACGCCTGAATCCGGTGCAGTATAAGCGGAACCAAAAGAACGCGTGGATCACCCAACCTGTATTACAGTTAAGAGAAGTATCCTTCTCTTTGGGGGGAATGTCTGGAGGCTCCCGTGTCTCTGGAAAGTCCCCCCGGAGTGACACATGATAAATTAACGTTATACGTTTTACACGTTACAGGCCGCAGAGAGCTGATAGTATCGATAGCTCTCCTCACTCATCGGCAGGATGGCAGGAAGACAGTGGGATGGAGGATTCGTCTGGGTGCTACACGCCGCCATCTTGCCACGAAATGTAGGTAGTCACGAACTAGTATATATTTGGTTCACAATTTGAAATAAGATGGAATTCTGATTACGTAAGACTATCTCAGACACTGTTCAAAAAGTTCTGAAATTTCACATCCAAATCAGTTGTCAAATTGCAAACGACGTTGGGAAATTTCATAACATTGTCAATTAGTTTTGCGATTAGTTATTAAAATTCATAATGGTTTTATAAAAATTCAAAACCCTTTCTTGAATATGAGAAAACTTTGTAATTTTGCAATTTGCGATTGTAAAATTATGATCACTCTATCAGAAATGTGAGATCTGATCGTAATTTTCCGATTGCAATTTTACAAATATATGATTGTGAAAAAAATTGCCAGCAATATTTGTAAAATTACAACGAATTTTTTTAACAGTGGACCAATCCACAAATATCTTATGACCAGATTGTCTGTGGATCAAGGACACGGGACGCCTATCAGTTCACCATCATGCTCCATGACCTCCTCCATGTCGCCGTATTCCGCAATGGACTCGCCACTACCACAGAACAGGTTATACTCCAATATAAGATAAAATGATTCTTTTGACATTTGACATGCAAGTTTCCTTTGTCCTCCACGTCATGGAGTGCTCGAGGGGCACGTCGATTTTTCGCTTGTATGTATGTTGCCTATATTCAGGGGTGTTTCTGTAGCCCAAATTGACAACCTGCCGCAATTCCCCCTGAGTTATATAGAAAAGGGAAAGGGGGGGG